ATGCAACTTGAATAGTTTTCGATTAGATATTCTAAATTCAGGGACCTCATACGTTCAAAATATATTGGGTATTAGTTGTGTGAAAGTTGCAGGCCGTTCGATTCCACTTGTTCCCCACATTTTTAAAATTTTTTGTTAGGAGAGGAAAATTTTTCAATAAAATCGGTAGATATTCCAAACTCAGAAACCCTAATACATTCTAAATATATTAAGAATCTTAAAAAACACAGGCCTAAAGAGGTCCAATTCCGCTCGTTCCTCCGTTTCATTGCATGCCCCCATTTCATTACGATTTTTTGATGCAACTTGAACAGTTTTCGATTAGATATTTCAAATTCAGGGACCCCATATGCTCTAAATATATTGTGTATTAGTTGTGTGCAAGTAACAGGCCGTTCGATTCCATTTGTTCCCCATTTTTTACAATTTTTTGCTAGGAGAGGAAAAGTTTTCAATGAGATCGGTAGATATTCCAAACTCAGAAACCTAATACATTCTAAATATATTAAAAACCATTAATAACAAATCCATAAAGGTGCTCGATTCCGCTCGTTCCTCCATTTTATTGCATTTTTAAAGCAATATAACGTGTTTTCTAAGAAACTGAAGACATATTTCTCGTCCAGAGACACGTCCCTTTCTATGTCGATCCACATTTCTTATGTATGTTAATTATAAGCAGTTCAATTCCGCTCGTTCCTCTTCATTAATTAGATTTTTGAGAGGAACTAAATCAGTATCATGAATTAAAGGTTAGTCCTGGAACCTGTAAGACTCATGTAGCCCAAATACTTAAAAATTGTATGACATGCAAGCTTCAATGCGTTCAATTCCACTCGTTCCCCTATTCCGTAGAATTTTTAACGTCATTTGCACCGAATTTTAACATATTGATGCCTTTTTTTAGGTCGCTGGAAACTTGTTCTTTAATTATGACACAAATCTCATAATTGTGCAAAGAATAAGAAATTCGATTCCGTTCGTTCCCCTACATTTTTAAAAAGCTTACAGCAAACAGCTAATTGTTAGCAATCATATGTTTTATTTGGGAACTTGGAGACCCTTGCGATGTAATACCTTTAAAAATTACGATCAATGTAAGCCATAAGATGTTCGATTCCGCTCGTTCCTCTGTTCTATAGCCTTTTTGGAAAGTAAAATCAATTGATTTTTAACAACATGAGGTCTTTTCCAAGTTGCTAAAAACTTCCCATTCAATTATTATCCAAATATATAAATAGTGAGCAGTTCGATTCCACTTGTTCCCCTATTTTTTAGGGTATTGGAGATCAGAAATAAATTGATTTCAATATGAAAATAGGGTTATATGTAGTAAACAACAACCCCAAATTTTTCAAATTTATCACAAATTGCAGAATTTTAAATCCGCAATATGTTCCATTCCACTCGTTCCACCAAATGCTTTGATTTTCCAAAAATAAGAATTGCTACCGTTGGACTGAATTCGCATTTGAATTGCTTCGATGACTTAGTCCCCATTCAAAGTATTTCTAAAATATTAATTACTTGTTCCATTTCACTCGTTCCAAGTGGTATGTCTACAAATCGACATTAAGAAGATTGACACATTATTGATATGTGAGAGAACAATCTTTCTAAATACCTTTCCTAAATCCATATGTGCATTTATTTAGAATTTCAATTTCGATCGTTCCTCTGTAGTTTTTCGCAGTCTTATAGATGTTTGATTCCGTTCGTTCCAAAAATTTTTGACATATTTAGTGCCATACGAATGACAATGAAAATAATTGAGTCATATTTGTAGTAAAAAAAAAGGTCTGAATTCTGCTTGCACTTATGTGGAGTACCAATTTCATTCGTTCCTCAATTTTTTTTAGATATTATGTTTGCAATTTCCAAAATGTTTAGGCATATTTGACACATATTTGAATCGAGGATGTTGTATTCTTTCACACTGTCTTTAAAATATTATTGTTTACAAATGAATAGATGTTCGATTCCGTTCGTTCCAAAAGTTTTTGGCGTTTTAAGGGACATGCAAGCAGATATCAACAAGTTTAGGGCATATTTGATTGGGGGGAAAAGTTACTCTTTATAGACACCGTACCAAATTTTAGGTAATCATTCATTTAACATTTCGATTCCGCTCGTTCCTCAATGATTTTTGCGATTTGTGAAAGATATATATTGTGTTGGCGATACTGATGTTAATTACTTCAAATTGTCCATGAAATATCAATGTACGCCAATGTTTAGGTGTTCGATTCCGTTCGTTCCACAAGTTTTTGGAGTTTTTGAGGGGCATATAAATAGCAGGCTTAAGGTATATTTGGATAGAGGAGAAGTTACCCTTTCCGAATTTGATAATATCCGCAACAGCACACATATCTGGAATTTCAATTCCGCTCGTTCCTCCATGATCTTCGTGACTTTTCAAAAGAGGTACAGATTGTTTTGACAACCCCGAGGCTTAGTGCTTCAAACTTTCTTCTAAAGAGAAATGTATGAAATTTTTTGAAGTGTTCCATTCCAGTTTGTTCCAAAAGATTTTAGCTTTTTTAGAGGCTCACGCATAGCTCTCAATAATTTTGAGGTGTATTTGTATAACAGTTCCTCTTTTCTGTCTTGTTGATATCTACATGTGCAAAGATATTTTGAATTTCAATTCCATTCGTTCCTCCATGTTTTTAGCTATTTTTCAAATATATACATATACACATCATTTAGACAATATTGATATTTACTGATTCAAGCTGTCTTTGAAATATTAATGTACGCCAATGTTAAGGTGTTCGATTCCATTCGTTCCAAACGTTTTTGAAGATTTTAGGGGTATATAAGGAGTTACTACCAAGTTTAAGGTATATTTGGATTGGGGAGAATTTCTCCTTTCCGATTTTGTTGGTACCCGCAAGTACACAGATTTCTGCGATTTCAATTCCGCTCGTTCCTTCATGATTTTCGTGACTTTTCAAATAAGTATAGATTGTTTTGACAACACCGAGGCTTAGGGCTTCAAGCTGTCTATTAAATATTAATGTAAGCAAATGTTTAGATGTTCGATTCCATTCGTTCCAAACGTTTTTGAAGTTTTTGGGGGCATATGAGCAGTTATTTCAAAGTTTGAGTTATATTTAGATTGGGGAGAAGTTCCTCTTTCCGTGTCTTGTTGAAATGTGCATATTTGGTTTTTCAATTCCATTCGTTCCTCCATGATTTTCGCGATTTTTCAATGGAGAATAAATTGTTTTAACATCCCCGAGGCTTAGTGCTTCAACCTGTCTTTTAAATATTAATGTATGCAAATGTTTAGGTGTTCGATTCCATTCGTTCCAAACGTTTTTGAAGGTTTTAGGGGCATATGAATAGTTATTAACATATTTTAAGTATATTTGGATAGAGGAGAAGTTTCTCTTTCCGGATTTTTCAAAGATATTTGGATTTTCAATTCCATTCATTCCTCCATGGTTTTGGTGATTTTTACAATAAATATGGATGGTTTGGCCAACCCAAAGGCTTATTCTTTCAAACTGACCTTGAAATATTAAGGTACGCAAATGTTTCAGTGTTCGATTCCGTTCGTTCCAAAAGTTTTCGGTGTTTTTAGAGGTATTTGAATAGCTATTAGCAAGTTTGAGGCATATTTGGACTGGGGAGAACGCCCTCTTTCAAACTAAGGTGATTATATTCGTGTTCATTGATTTTTAGAACCTCAATTCCGCTCGTTCCCCAAAAAAAAATTATATGAATTTTATAAAATGTTTATTTTTTTAAATATTTTAGGGACTGCCCTCTCGTTTCCTCTGAAACTTCAATATTTTCTCTAACCTTTTGTGGTTGCCCCAAAAAAAAAAAAAAGAAATCTCCCTCTCCCCCCATCATTTTTGTATTCGAAACTTTCAACACAATTTAGCTAATATTTTTAACATTTGTTTTTTTAGTGAAACAATCTAGTGAAACGTAATGGTAAATTCAGAACATCAATGTGTAAAATAAATTAAATTTCACAAGTCTTCTTCTTCTTATTTTTTTTTCTGTAATTTAATTTAATGTTAGCTGTAAAATGTTTAAAGTATGCCAACATTTCGTTCTTGTTTTGTGAGAAAAGAACGAATTGAATAATAATCCTGTAAAAATAATCTAAAGAAAATCCAAAAAAAAAAAAAAACAAAGTAAATGCTAAAAAAATCCTGCTAAGAAATCCTTTGAGGGTTTCAATTAAAGCTAAAATTTTAAATAATATTTTAATTTAAAATAAAAAAAGAAAATATTAATTTTTTTTGTAGAATTATTTGAGAATTCTTTTTTTTTTTTTTTTGTAACGTAGAAGTAAAACATGTTTTAAAAAGTAGTAAATAGTTTGTTGATGAAAACAAAAGTCCCCCAAAATTTTGGAAAATGAAAAAGCGAGACCCCCCACCCCAAAAAAAAAAAAAAAAAAAAAAAAAAACCCTCCCCTGAAAAAAAATCAATCACTTGTTCGTTCGTTTGTTACTTGAAAACATTGTTTCCCTCTCTCGCTCTAACTCTCTATCTGACTGTCTGTCTCTCATACACATTAACTCTCTTTCTCTCGCCAAAAATTTCCCCTTGACTGTATTGAATCACCTGTGTTTGATTGCTCCAAAAAAAAAAATCACCGACACCCAAAAAAAAAAAGTTTTGAATTGATACGTTTTTCCAAATTCAACCCTTGTCCCTTGATACACTCCGCCCATCCAAACCACCAATCACTGAATAACGCCACCACGGAATACCCTCACTAACCCGACACATTACTACTGTTTTTCCTTTTTAGAAATTAGTTTTAAGTAACAAAAAAAAACAAAATTAGAAACAGCAATCATTCAAAAATTTCAAATACTAAACAAAAAAATATTTAACCTTTATTTGACCTTTTGATTTTCTTTTTTCTTGTTGTTTATTTTTTTTTCTTCTTCTATATGATCTTGGGTTTGTTTTTGTAATACTTTGAAAAATATTGAAAAAAAAACAACAACAACTACAAAAATTCTTAGACTTCCTTATCCTTACCTGGTTCACCATTTAACCTACGCCGGGGATCACGTAGTTCACACAAGGTAAGAATAATTGAAAAAACAAACAACAACAATAATAAAAATAATGATGATGACATTCAGCAAAAAAATAAAATTGTTTTTGGAAACGTAATGTGTTGTGGTAGCAAAAATCGAAATGTGAAAAATTTGCACCCCCACCACATAATCGTATTCATCCAAAAAAAAAAAAACACTGCTGCTCTCTTGATTTCACTTGTTTCCAATGTCAAACACACACAGGGTGTCAGTCATCATTACACACATACATACATACATATACATTGATTTAGTTATTCACCACAATGTTTTGCATAAATTCACCACTAAGTGTCATTTCACCGCACAAATGTCACATAGCTTAAAAAACGATAATTTAGTTTTCAATTCCACTCGTTCCTCTGATTTTTGGTAATTTTTTGTAACATACACAACATAATTTCAAATAACTTCAGGCATATTTTAGATAAGGAACATGCATTCCTCACAGGGACATTAAAATTTTTAACTTTTGGGCTCTGGAAGTGCTTCGATTCCGCTCGTTCCTTCATGTTTCAATATCTATGAACTCATAGAAATACATTTTAAGAAGCTTGAAGCATAACTGGCATAAAAGTGATCCATCGTTGGTAAAGTCATTCCTTTTTTTTTTGACATGTAAAAACTATAAGTGTTTCGATTCCACACATTCCTCGTTGATAAAACATGCCATGGAGCATGTAAAGTTGATTTATTTAGCTTAAATCCCATATTTGGCAGTCTTATCTATCCCAAATATACATTTTTTGAGTCACACAAATTATGAGTGTTTCAATTCCGCCCGTTCCTCAAACTTTTTATCGAATTCCACAGCATGCGAATCTATTCTCATTACATTTTTCTAAATTACTATAGTCTAAATTTTCCGAACATGTTCATTTTATGATATACGCCAAATGGGTGTGCTTCAATCCCACTCGTTCCTCTACAAGTTTGGGATTTTTGGTAGAATACTAAGAGATTTCAAATAACTTCAGGCATATTCTAGATCAGGAAAGGGTCTTTTTTGAAAGGCCATAGGAATTTATGACATGCATGCACTAGAAGTGTCTCGATTCCGCTCGTTCCTCCATGTTTCATCGATTTCTATAGTATTATAATCCTTTCTGTTTACTTTTAAGCATTTTCGGAATTAGAAAAGAGTCTATCTTGTAAAAACATAAAATTTTTTGACATAAACCATATCACTGTACTTCGATTCCGCTCGTTCCTCAGCTAGTTTTAGATTTTTGGTAGAATACGAAGTGATTTCAATTAACTTTAAGCATATTTTAGATAAGAAAGTGGTCCACCTTGCAAAGAAATAATTATTTATGACATCCATGCACTAGAAGTGTCTCAATTCCGCTCGTTCCTCAACAAGTTTGGGATTTTTGGTACTGTACGAAGTGATTTCAATTAACTTCAGGCATATTCTAGATAAGGAAAGGGTCGTTTTCGAAAGGCCCTAGGAATTTTTGACATGCTTGCAATATAAGTGTACCGATTCCGCTTGTTCCTTAATGTTTTATCAATTTACATAAAATAACAATTTTTTCTAATTTCTTTAAAGTATTTTAGGGATGAGAAAAGAGCCTTCCTTGTAAAAACATAAGATTTTGTGACATAAGCCATGTAGCTGTAGTTCCATTCCACTCGTTCCTCAACAAGTTTGGGATATTTGGTAGTATACGAAGCGATTTCAAATAACTTTAAGCATATTTTAGGTAGGGAAAGGGTCCACATTGCACAGAAATAATTATTTATGACTTCCATGCACTAGAGGTTTCTCGATTCCGCTCGTTCCTCTATGTTTAATCGATTTTTATAGAATGATAATCCTGCCTGATTACTTTTAAGCATTTTCGGGATGAGAAAATAGTCTTCCTTGTTAAAACATAAGCCATATAACATAAGCCATATAACTTTAGTTCGATTCCACTCGTTCCCCAACAATTTTGGTAGCATACGAAGTGATGACAATAAACTTCAAGCACATTCTAGATAAGGAAAGTTTCTACCTTGCAAGGAAACAGTTATCAATGACATACGAGCACTAGAAGTGTCCCGACTCCGCTCGTTCCTCTATGTTTCATCGATTTCTATAGAAATACAATCCTTTCTGATTACTTTTAAGCATTTTCGGATTTAGAAAAGAGTCTTTCTTAAAAAAACATAAAATTTTGTGACATAAACCATATCACTGTACTTCGATTCCGCTCGTTCCTCAGCTAGTTTTAGATTTTTGGTAGTATACGAAGTGATTTCAAATAACTTCAATCATATTATAGATAAGGAAGGGGTCCACCTTGTAAAGAAATAATTATTTATGACATCCATGCACTAGAAGTGTCTCGATTCCGCTCGTTCCCCAATGTTTCGTTGATTTCTAGGAAATGAGAATCTTTTCAAATCACCTTGAAGCTTTCTCGGAATTAGGAAAGAGTCTATCTTGTAAAAACATAAGATTTTGTGATATAAGCCACATAAATGTAGTTCGATTCCACTCGTTCCTCAACAAGTTTGGAATATTTGGTAGTATACGAAGTGATTTCAATTGACTTCAAGAACATACTAGATAAGGAAAGGGTCCACTTGCAAAGAAATAGTTAATTATGACAACCATATACTACAAGTGGCTCGATTCCGCTCGTTCCATAATGTTTCATCGATATCTAGAGAGTGATAATCTTTTCTAATTACTTTAAGGCATTTTCGGAATCAGAAACGAATCGTCCTTTCAAAAACATAAAATTTTGTGACATTAGTGAAATTTTTGTAACTCAATTCCGCACGTTCCTCTGTTGCTTCGTGTTCTTAGATGTTTTTGGCAGAAAATGAAGGGATATCTATGTTTTTATGACATATTCCTAATTAGGACATGTTCTTATTTCAAAGTGACTTATTAGTATTGAAGTAAGCTACGTTTTGTGTTCCAATTCCATTCGTTCCACTGTGTTTTTTCTGTGTATTAAAGCTTTTTTCGAATAATTAAGCCTGGATCTATCGAAAACATTGAAAATAATGAATTAAAACGTTGAACATGTTTCAATTCCACTCGTTCCACATTGTAATTTGAAGAGTTTTCAAAAAAAAAAAAAAAAAAAATGGCAAAATATTTAAAATTATTCCAATTGCTGTCATTTTCTATATCTGTGTATATTTTCCGTTCCAAATGCAAAAAATTGCTGAGCAGCAATCAAGTTCTGGTTTCCATTCCACTCGTTTCTCTGCGAATTCTGGCATAAAATGAAGAGATATCTCTTTTTTGGTGGCATATTCTTGATTTTGATATGCTCAGCGAATTATTAGAAGTGAAGTAAGTTAAGTTTTGTGTTCCAATTCCATTCGTTCCACTGTGTTTTTATGCGTATTAAAGCGTTTTTTGAAATTTTTCGCCTAAATCTCTTCAAGACTTTGAGAATAATTAACAAAAATGTTGAAAATGTTTCAATTCCACTCGTTCCACAACATTTTTTTGAGAATTTTCATAAAAAAAATTAGGTTTTCTTGATAATATGAAGATCTTTTTGGATAGAAATACATCTAAATTCATTGTCACAAAAAATTATTGTTTGTTGTTTTTCATTAAGCCATATTAAAGCATACATGCATATATTTTTTATATATAAAATATTTTATTTTTTTTATATATATGTTTTTTTTTTGTTGGTATCATAATTTCTCTTTGCATAATTTATAGTCATTATACAGCATTCATTACATTAATCAGCATAAAATATACGATGATGATGATAATGATTATTATTACCAATATCATGTTAATAATAATAGAAAAATATATATACATACTTAGATATATGTATAACAGTATGTACGTATAACAGTAAATTTTTGTTTGGTCCAATATATGAATATTCCCAATCCAGACTCATTTCTCCCTTTAAGATGCCACAAATACTCATATTTATTCCTTATATCTTATCCATCATTTGTATGTATAAGAGAATAATTATAACAATTATAATAATAACATGTGTGACTGTGATATAATTTTTAATAATAATAACATAATAAATATTTTTAACAATTATATAAAAAATTTATTCCATAATATCCCTAAGTGTAATACATATTTATTTCTGATATAAAAATATTTCCCTTAACCCCTTTCTACTCTCTCACCCCTTAATAATGTTATATTAAACTCTTATATTTGCCCCTTTAAGTGTTATACTCTCCAAAACAATAATCTCCTGCACTCTACTCTGGGGGCATTAATTGCCTCAAAATATCTCAATCGTAACCCCCAATGATGTGATTCTAAGTCTGTATAACAGTTAGTGTCGATGATCACCTTGACTCACACTCTTTCTCTCTCTCTCTCTCTGTCCGTGTCGCTCTTTTTGTCCATATCCTTTCCAGACACCTTTCGTAAATGTGTTGTATTTTATGTTTTCATGTTTGATACTATGTTTTCTTTCTTGTATTCTACTCACCATGACTCACTCACACATACATACATACTTACATACGTACACAGAACTCATTGATCTCTAACAGCTGTACTCACCATTTTGATGTGCCATTTACTAACTGTAACTACTGGCTCCCATCCAGTTACCTCTAACTCTCTTTGGTTTTTTACTCATTTCGAAAAAAAAGAGATATTTAAGGCAGTGGTTTGTATAACAGCTACAACTTACCGTAATCTCTCTTTAAATATCTCTTCAACTTTCTCTTGATTTCCCCATTGTTTCTCCATGCATTTCTTTTAATTTCAAACATCTCTCAAACTCCTCTCCCATTTCCATTCAACTTTCTCTCCCAACCCCCCTATAGACCATAACGTAATTTTGACTTCTTAAAAATTAAATTAAAATTTTGAAAAGTACAAAAAAAAAATAATTATTTTGATACTTTGTTTTTGTATATAAGCAATAATAACCAACCTCTAATTTAATTTGTTTATAACAAAAATAAAATTGTAAATCATCATAATATTTTTTGCCAATGTTCAATTCACCAACCACCACCACCAACCATCACCACCACCACCACTACTACCAACCCTAAATGTGTGTGTGTCTGTCTCTCTGTGAAAAAAAAAAAAAACAAAATCCAAATTTACAAAAAATTGAAAAACCCCCAAAATTCAAAGCCTCTACTAACGAAAAGTTCAATCAAAAACACACCTCAGTACACAATACGAAATGGGCGTGGACGTTTTGGTATACCAGGTAGCGATCGCAAGCCATTGGTACTGCAAACATATCAGGATGCCCAGCAGCATTTGCCCTATGCCGATGACTCGAATGCCGTAACACCAATGTCCGAAGAGAATGGTGCCATTATAGTACCAGCCTACTATTGTAATTTAGGTAAGTTCGGAAAAAAAATAATCAAAATCCTTAAAATTACCCCATTTTTTTATTGAGGACATAAAAAATTTATCAATTTTAATGATTGGGAGATTAAAAGTTTTTTTTCTCTCTCTATCGTAGATAGTTAAATCACTCTATATTCTATGAGTAAATTTTCGATTTTCATTGAGAACATCTCCCAATCATAGAAATTCCTCTCAATCTTTATCACCTGATCTTGAATGAGAACATCTCCCAATCATAGAAATTCCTCTCAATCTTTATCACCTGATCTTGAATGAGAACATCTCCCAATCATATAAATTCCTATCAATCTTCAAAGAGAATATGACCTGATTTTCAATGAGAATATCAGCTGATCTTCAATGAGAATATTTTTTTTTAGTTTTCTTAGAAAAAGTTATCTAAATTCCCAATAAAAATTTCCGATTTTTTCTACAGAAAGATCTACTGAAATTTTTATGACGATCTCTGCACATTCTTTAGAAAGGTCTCATGGTCTTCTATGAGAAGCTCTCCGGTTTTTCTATGAGAAAGCCTTCCTATGTTGTTTCTGATCATATATCCGGCAGAAAAAAAAATCTTGATCTGTAAAAAATCCCGATCTTCTGCGAGAAGATCTCCTGTTTTCTCTAAAAAGGCCATCCGATTGTATTTCTGATCACCTTTAAAAAATCTTTTATTCTAGCAAAAAAAAATTGATCTGCAGGTGATCTGGCGACATTGAGAATATCTAGGCACCTACTCTTCCTAAAGAATATAACCGGAAATTGTGGGTGGCCATACGCCAAACATTTAGGAAGATATCTCCGGATCTTCTCAGACGATCTCTGGATCTCTTGAGTATACTCGAAACCTAATAGAATAGACTTCAAGATATTCTTGAAAAAGATTTCCTTAAAGAAAATCCACGGATATTCAAAAAAAGGTCACACTACCTCCTATGAGAAGATCAATGGATCTTCTTCGAGAATATCTGTAGATCTTCCTTATAAAGACCCTCAGATCTTCTTCAAGAAGCTCTTCAGAATTTATTCTGGGAGAATATCTTCAAAGTTTTTCGGAGCAGATGTTCAACTTTTTGAAGATGACCTAAAAATATTTTAGGAGAGGAACTTCAAATCCTTTCTAAATCAGTACTCCAGTTCTTCGGAATGACGACCTTTATATATAAGAGAAGTTCTCCAGAAATTATTAAAAAGATTTTATTTTGCAACGAGATCTCCTGATCATCTGCGAAAGGATATTTGATCTTCTAGAGAAGACCTCCTGACCTTACGGGAAAAAGCATCCCGATAATCTATCCAGATATTTTCGAAAAAGATATGTAAATGTTCTGGGATAAGATCTAGAGATGGGCTATTGCCGATTTTGTTCGAGAAGATCTTCAGATTTTCTGGGAGAAGATCTCCTAATCTTAAAGACGATCTTAGGGGGAAGATCTTTCTTGAAGAAGAATTCCATATCTTCTCGAAGAAAATCGTTAATGTTCTGGAAGAATATCAAGAGATCTTCGGAATAGAGGCTCCAAATCTTCTGGGAAGGTAGCTCCAGACTCCGAGAAGATCTTTTTTAAATAAGAGAGGATCTATTGGTCGAAGATCTCCAGGTTTTTTAAGAAAATATCTTCAGATACTCTTTATGGAGAGGATTTCTTAATCTTCTGGGAGAAGTTCTCCTGATTTTCTGGAAAATAATCATCAAATCTTATTGAAGCAGATTATCTTTTTAAAGATCTTCTGGGATAGAGTCTCATATTCTTCTGGAAAAATCTGGGACCTCCAGATCTTCTTCTGAAAAAATATTGATGTTCTGGAAGGAAATTTCCAAATCATTTCCTCAAAGATCTTCTTTAGATGAAAGAGGAAATACTGCTCGAGAATCTGCACATCCTCTGGGAGGAGATCTCTTCTGGAAGAATGCCTCCAGGTTTTTTAAGAGAATATATTCAGATCGTTTTCAAGGAGGGGATCTCTTTATCTTCTGGGAGAAGTTATCTCAATCTTCAGGAAAATAATCCCCAAATCTTCTTGAAGCAGATTTTCTTCCTAAGGGTCTGGAGATATTCACATCTTCTGGTCTGAAGCAGGAGATCTTGCGAGGAGGACTTTGGGTCTTCTCTTTAAATATTTTCGGGAAAAGATCTGCAGGTCTTCTCTCAGGTAGTCCATAGCTTTTTTTCCCAGAAGAGCTGATATTAGGTATGGGTTCCAAATTGTTCTCTCCTAACAGTTTACCTTACAACTTTTGGTCTGAAGCAGGAGATCTGACGATGTTCTCCGAGGAGGTAGGACCCAAAGACCTCCTTAAATATTTTCAGGAAGATAATCTATAGTTTTTCTCGCATAAAAGTTGATATAAGGTTTGAAGGACTTCTCTTAAAATTTGGCTTGGAAGACAAAGAAATATTTTTGGTTATCTCTTTTCCGCCCATCTATAGATCTTCTCATTAATGTTTGAGAGGGATGCTGTTCGAAGATCGGGATATACTTCATTTTTGTTTATCTGTTGAGCTTCTTATTGAAGTTTTGTCGATATTTCTTCTCTCTCTCTCTCTCTCTCTCTCTATCTCTCTCTTCTTTGTGAATAATTTACTAATTTGTATTTTTCTCTCTTTTTTATCTCTCCATCTCTTTCTCTTTTTCTTAATTTTACATACCCAGGTTCTAGACATTCTTCATATACCTCGCATCAATCAAGAATCTCGTATACATCACATGGTGATTTATTGGGTGGCATGGCGGCCATGGGTGCCAGCACAATGACCAAAGAGAGCAAATTGCGCAGTCGCAACACACGCAATCAATCAATCGGTGCTGCAACCAATGGTGGCAGTAGTACGGCCGGTGGTGGCTATCCCGATGCCAATCACAAGGAACAAAGGGATTATGTATGGAATGAAATTGAATTTTAAAAAATTTTTCGAATCGGGAAATATTGAAATATACAATTTTCTTTATTTGGAACAGGAAATGGGTCAGGATTATACAGATGAAGCTGGCAAAATAAAACACCACGACAATCCTTTTATCGAGCCCGTCCAAACTCAAACAGTGGTAGACATGAAAGGTAATATTTACTTGCAATTTTGAATTTTTAAAATAACCCTGCCCCCTCTTGCAGATGTTATGGTCTTAAATGATATCATTGAACAAGCCGCTGGTCGGCATAGTCGTGCTAGTGAACGAGGTGGTAAGCATTGTTTGAATTGTTGGTGTTATCCTTGTATTTTTTGGTTTTATGAAATAAATATTTTATTTTTAATTTTTTTTTCATTTTTTGTTTGGAAAATGAAAAATAATCTCCTGCTTTATTTGTTTAAATGTATGTCTTGTTTTTAAAACCTCCCAAAAGCGAAAATCATTTTTTTATATTTTTTTTAAATTTTTTTTCAAATTTTTTTCAAATAAATGTCTTACTTTATGTTGTAAATACAAAAAAAAAAAATAATATCGGAATTTGCCCCATAAGAATTTCGAAAAATTAACCAAAACCCCTCCCCTTAGCTAAATTGGTCTGTGTTGTAAATAATATTTTGCGTTCTCTAATGAAATGTGTTTTAATTGCTAAAAAGAAAATTTGAAAATTTTTTTAAGTTCAAAACTAAATTCGTTGTTATGACATGATTATAAAAATATATAAAAATTAACCCAAGCATTGGAATGTGTATATAAATTTAATTAATTATTTTTTCTTTCTTTAACCTCATCCTGCTTGTTTAACTGGAAAACAAATTCCAGAACCCAAAAAAGTTACTACAACAACAACAACAAAAATTTAGCATAACCTAAATTTTAATTTTCGTTTCAATGTTATGCCTTACGAATGAGTTTTGAAATTTCAAGTTTTGAGTTAAAATTACATTTTTTTTAATAATTTTTTAATACAGCACAAAATTTGATTTGAATTTGAAATTGTATATGAAAAAGCAAAAAAAAAAAAAAAAATAACAAATCGTCCAACTCGAATGGAAAATAGCACTGTGTGAATTTTTCGAAACAATTTCAAAAAAATCAAAAAAAAAAAAATCTCCCAAAAAGGTTTCTGGGATATTGGGAAAATATAACAATTAATCCACTGTAAATTGGTAGAAAGGTCTTAAGAACTTTTATTTTGGCCATTTATTGTCTCGCAAACAGTTTGGACATAAATTTTTTTTGGAAAAAATCAAATGTCGTAAATGTCAAAAACCTGTAAAAAATTCAAAACCCTAAGAAATCGTTGATTTTGTGTCCAGGACCTTCTGATCAGGATCTGTAAAAATTAAAAAAATGCAAAGAAATCGTTGATTTGGTGTTCTTCTTCCTTCTTAAGCTTTAAATTGGCTAAAATAGCCAAAATACCGCAAATGTCATAAACGTCACAAACCTGTAAAAAACATGTAAAAAGACAAGAAAACTTCAAAAATTAATATAGCGGGAAGGTGCATTGATGAAACAAGTAAAATTTTCGGCTTGAAAGTAAAATTTGTTATACTCGTTCTAAATTGTTTGCTGGGTTACTTAGCAATTTCCTTTCAAAAGACTTTTATAATTAACCCAATATTATTTTCCTTTTAATTAAGTCGGATATTTTTACCCAGACAACATTATAACTTAAAAATTTTTGGAAAAAAATTGAATGTCGTAAATGTCGCAAATGTCAAAAAAGTGTAAAAAACCTATGAAAGGGTAGAAAACTCATACATTTGAAGTTTATAATAAATTATACTAATCATACAAGTAAACTTAGAGGTTTGTAAGGGAAATTTTCCGATATTCTTCCAAAAATGTTTGCTGGGATGCATCGACAATTTTTAAACTTCAAAATTTAAACTTCAAAATGATTCAACGGGAGGGTGCATACATGAATCCAGTAAAATTTTAGGTTTGAAAGTAAAATTTGTGATATTCTTTTCAAATTGTTTGCTGGGTTACCTAACAATTTCCTTTCAAAACCCCATTTTAATTAACCCAAAGGCATGTTTCGTTTATTCAAGTCAAATATTAGTACCCAGACAACATTATAATTCCAAGTTTTTTAAAAAAAAGTTGAATGTCGTAAAAGTCGCAAATGTCAAAAAGGTGTAAAAAACTTATGAAAGGGTAGAAAACTCACACATTTGAAGTTTATAGTAAATTATAATAATCATACAAGTACAATTAGAGATCAGGTAGTGAAATTTGTAATATTCTTGCACAAGATGTTTGCTGGGATGCATCGACAATTTTTAAACTTCAAATTTTAAACTTCAAAATGATTCAACGGGAGGGTGCATAGATGAAACAAGTAAAACTTTCGTCTTGAAAGTAAAATTCGTGATATTCTTTCTAAATTGTTTGCTGGGTTACTTAGTAATTTGCTTTCAAAACCCCATTTTAATTAACCCAAAGGCATGTTTCCTTTTATTTCAGTCAAATATTTCTATCCAGACAAAAACTTCAAAATTTTTGGAAAAATAATTGAATGTCGCAAATGTCAGAAAGGTGTAAAAAACTTATGAATGGGTAGAAAACTCATACATTTGAAGTTTATAGTAAATTATACTAATCATACAAGTAAACTTAGAGGTCTGTAAGGGAAATTTTCCGATATTCTTCCAAAAATGTTTGCTGGGATACATCGACAATTTTTAAACTTCAAATTTTAAACTTCAAAATGATTCAACGGGAGGGTGCATACATGAATCAACTAAAATTTTCGGTTTCAAAGTAAAATTTGTGTTATTCTTCTCAAATTGTTTTCTGGGTTACTTAGCAACTTCCTTTTAAAATCCCATTTCAATTAACGCAAAGGCATTTTCTTCTATTATTTATGTAAAATATAGTTATCCAGACAACATTAAAACTTCAAAATTTTGAAAAAAATGTTGAATGTCGTAAAAGTCGAAAATGTCAAAAACGTGTAAAAAACTTATGAATGTGTAGAAAACTCACATACACGAAGTTTATAGTAAATTATAATAATCATACAAGTAATCTTAGAGGTCTGGTAGTGAAATTTGTGATATTCTTGCAAAAAATGTTTGCTGGGATGAATCGACCATTTTTAAACTTCAAATTTTAAACTTTAAAATAATTCAACGGGAGGGTGCATACATGAACCAACTGAAATTTGCGGTTTGAAAGTAAAAATTGTGATATTCTTTATAAATTGTTTGCTGGGTTACAAAGCAATTCCCTTTAAAATCCCCATTTTAATTAACCCAAAGGCATATTTCCTTTTATTTAAGTCGGATATTAGTAACCAAACAACATTAAAACTTCAAAATTTTCAAAAAAAAAAAAAATTGAATGTCGTAAATGTCCCAAATGTCAAAAAGGTGTAAAAAAGTTATGAAAGGGTGGGAAACTCACACATTTGAAGTTTCTGGTGAATTATATGAAACATACAAGTAAAATCAGAGGTCTGTAAAGGAAATTTTCCGATATTCCTCCAAAAATGTTTGCTGGGATACTTAAAATCTTCTTTCGAAAATTGCATTGTAGTGATTGAAATTACATTATTTTAATTTATATTGACCAATGCTTGCCTTGAAGACAATTTTACGTTTCAAAATTATCGAAAAAAAATTTAAAGTAAAAAAAGTCACAAATGTCGTAAACCTGTATAGAATGCATTATTTGACAGAAACCATAAATGTATGAATTTTGTAGTGAATTTCATGAGTCGTTCAACTGAAATTCGAGGTCTGGTAGAGAAATTTGCTATATTCTTCCAAAAATGTTTGCTGGGATACATTAACATTTCTTACGCAAATTCGATCTTAGTGCATAAAAACACTTTATTTTGATTTATATGGGATTTAGTTAGTCTTTAAGACAGTATTTCATTTAAAAAAAATCAAAAAAATTACAGTGTCGTAAAAGTCACAAAATTGTATAAAACGTATAAAATGTCGAATATGTAAAAATGTTTATGCAATATGACGTTCTATCGACTTTTAATGTCATTTAGAACAATTTTTAGTTTTATCTCTGCTAAAATCCAACATGTCAAAAATGTATAAAACGTAAAATTCGGTAGAAATCGACAGAAACTTGTATAAAAGTACAAAAATAATTAAAATAAAGACATCTTGACATCAGTAATATGACATTGGGGCTTTTTTGATTTTTTTAGACCAAAAATAATTAAATGTCGTAAATGTCAAAAATTGTAAAAAACCGCATAAAATGTCAAATATGTAAAAGTTGTTATGCAATATGACATTCTATCGACTTTTAATGTCATTTGGAGCTATTTAGAGTTTTACCTCTGTCAAATTCCAACATGTCAAAAATGTATAAAACGTATAATTCGATAGAAATCGAAGTATACTTCTATAAAAATACAAAAATATTTAAAATTAGAGCATTTTGACAATAATAATATGACATTGGGACTTTTTTGAATTTTTTGGACCAAAAATTCGCAAATGTCGTAAATGTCAAAAATTGTAAAAAACGTATAAAATGTCGAATATGTTAAAATTGTTATGCAATATGACATTCTATCGACTTTTAATGTCATTTGGAGCAATTTTTAGTTTTACCTCTGTTAAAATGCAAATTGTCAAAAATGTATAAAACGTATAATTCGGTAGAAATCGAAGTAAACTTCTGCAAAAATGCAAAAATATATATAATTAGGACATTTTGACATCAATACTAGGTCATTGGAGATTTTTTGAATTTTTTAGACCAAAAAAATTCAAATGTCGTAAATGTCAAAAATTGTATAAAACCTATAAATAATCCAAAATATAAAAATTTGCTATTCAATATGACATTTTATCACCTTTTAATGTTATTTGAAGCTATTTTAATGTTCACATCTGCCAAAATAGAACATGTCAAAAATGTATAAAATGGTATAAAACCTGTAAAATTGCATATATCGAAGAAATTCTTTTTGAAGTTATAAATACGATTAAAAGTTAAGACATTTTGACATGATAAATGGTATTTTTGGGACCATCTAATTGATTTGCCATTGTAAAATATGTCAAAAACCTATAAATTAATTTTAAAATCTCAAATTCACACAGTGTTATTTTTATATTTTTTTTGTAAATTTCGGCATGTTTTGCCTCCCCCGCCCTTCTCTATAACTCTCTTAACTCTAACTTTAACTCCCTACCTCACACTTTTAATAAATATTCGAGAAAAAAAAAACAAAAACTATTAACTTACATTTTTTTTTTGAGTTTCCACTTACTGTTTCTATTCTAT